AAAGAAAGAAAGAAAGAAAAGAAAAGAAAAGAAAAACTTTCTTGCTTTTTCTGGAATTTGGCAGATCCAGCCTGGGGAGGGGTGGAGCCCACACTATTGATTAAGTCTGGTTGGGTGTGGATTCAATGTCGACATTCAGGGATACAAAAGCTGGAATCTCCATAAACCTTTCCCTGAATCCTCTGCTAATCAGTGAAGACTCTAAAAGCGCAGAAAACAAGGACAGATGGAGGCTGGGGTTCCGTAGGAGGGAAGCAGGAGTGCATTGGAGAGGTGAGACAGCATGGAAGGAGCAGCGGCAGGCGGAGGCAGGAGACCAGGGTTCAGATCCCACCTCTGCTCTCTCTTTGTTGGCAGTTGGCCCCTCAGAGCCTCAGCTTCTCTTCCGCAGCTCAGAGAAGTCACTTAGGATCCCTGTTTCCTTTGGGGGTTGAGTGTCTCTTTCGGAGGACGTTTCCTGGCCTAGAAGATCAGGGTCTTGCTGGCTGTGGTGGAGCACAACTGCAATCCCAGCGACTCCAGAAGCTGAGGCAGGAGGCGCTCAAGTTCAAGGACAGCGTGGGTAACGTAGTGAGACCCTGTCTCAAAATTTAGAAAAATAAAAAAATAAAAACAAAAAGGGCAGGGGATACAACTCGATGGTAGAGCAGCCAGGAATTTGATCCCCAGTACCCCCTGACATACACACACACACAATCAGAGTCTCGACGTCATGCCCCCTACCAAAGAAAAGATCAGTCCAACTTTCTAATCCAAAAAATCAAGTCCTATCTGTCAGGTGCCAAATACCTCTCCAGTCTCATCTCTCACCCTACCTCCATGGCTTTTCTCATTCCAATAACCCTCTCCCCTTTTTATTTCCTCCAGTGCTGGGATAGAACCCAAGGCATCCTGTAAGTTAGGCAAGCAGTCTACTACGGAGCTACCTCCTTTAGCCTCACTTGTCTTTTTTTTTTTTATTGTTTGGATGGACACAATACCTTTATTTTATTTGTTTATTTTTATGTGGTGCTGGAGATCGAACCCAGTGACTCATGCATGCTAGGCAAGTGCTCTACCACGGAGCCACAACCCTGGCCCAGCCTCGCTTGTCTTTGAAGACTCAGCTCATGTCTCATCTCCCTTAGGAACCCTTCTCCAGTCTCCCACCCACTGATTGATTTAACTGCCCCTTCTCTGGTTTCCTGGAATATTCTGGGCATAACTCCATTAACAACTATTAATTACAACTGAAGTTTATGGAAGTTTATTGTGCCTGGACCTCTACCAGGGTTTTTACCCAGTACCATCTAATTGAATTCAAACCATACCCATGTGAAGGGGCTGTCTTTATCCCCATTTTCCTAGACAGGACACTGGGCTTGAGGGAGGTGAAGGGTGAACACTGGGGATGAAAATCCAAGGCAGTGTGGTCCCCAAACTGTGCCAGTCTTCTTACATTGTCTGCCCACCCTACACCCTGAACACAAGAAATGGTGGTTTTCTGTTTAGGGTTGTGTACTTGACCTTCCTTTGACCTATGAATAGAAGTGCAGCGGCTCAGCTCCTTTTGCCTCTACCCCATGCCTGTCATTGTCCCAGGAGGGGCTGAGTCCAAATCTCACATTTTCAAATCTATACATTTGAAGTTCCCTTCCTTCCCTTGGGAACCCAAGAAGAGCCTGAATGTACCAGGGATCCTCCTTGGTCTAGACTAGTGTCCCCTCCCACTAATACACATTCATACCCACCTAGGTTTAATCCAGGTAAGGGACCTCTTCTCAGAGTTCATGGTCACATGTGCCAATGTGCCAAGCCCTGGGTCCACCTCCCTCAGGCTTTAACTCATTGAACCTCACAGCCAACTATGAGAAAGATAAGAGTATGATTTCCATTTTACAGATGAGGGAAACTGAGGCTCAGCCACGAATCCTAGAAAAGTAGGTGGAGCCAGCAGGGTCACTTGACTCTAYAGTCCTTTAGCTTCCCCACTGCCTCTCTTCTGATCTAGACAGGGCCAAACCAGGGAGAATACAAAGAGGACAAGGGTTGTGATTCATCTTTCATCACCCTGAGCTGTTGGCCACACCCAGGTACCATGAAGTCAGTTGTGAAAGGCTGGGCAGGGCAGTCCCTGGCACACAGCAGGTTCCCAGTAACTGTTTATTGGCACAGGTCATGGGGCAGGGGTTATCACCTTCACTTTATAGATGAGGAAGTTGCAATCAGAGACAAATAGGAAAGTTGCCCAAGGTCATCCCTGAGTCAGAGGAAGAGTAAAGACTTGAACTCAGAACACTGAGTTCAGAACACAGTAGACCTTGGGTTAAGAAAGAGAAAGGAGGCCACTGCAGGGCTGGGACACTGGGCAGGGCTTTCCCACTTAGATTTTTCAGGATGACAATTTTATGGGTCCTGTAAGTCACTGGGACATGTCCTCATCCATCTCTACTCTAATGACCCTAAATCAGGGAAGTTAGGCTCCAGGTAGTCCAGACACTGTGACTAGTGACTGGTTTATGGTAGCCCAAGACTGGATCTGGGGCTGGGAGATAATGCTGGGAAGGTTAAGACAGGAATGGGGAGCCTTCCACGTGCATGACTCCAATGTCAGAGACGCCAGACTATCCCCTGACTATCCACAGCACCATTCTCAGCCTCTGCAGTGCCATCATTAAGATGCATCTGTGAGGAAGTGCACGTCCAAACCACACCCACTAACTCAGAGGGACACCCCCACAACCTGGCCCAAAAATATACCCAGGGCCCTCCCACCCTCCTCTCCCTCAGCCCCCACCCTGCAGTGCAGTGGATTTTGAAGTGGGTCCAGAAGTTACTGATCAAAGCTGTATCATATCAAGTCTCACTCTTGTCAGGCAGTTGGTCTGGGTCTTAGGGACCTTCTGGAATTTTTTTTTTTTTTTTTTTTTATGAAAGGAGTAGTACTAGGGCTTTGTGCATGCTAGGTAAGCACTCTATCACTGAGCTACATCCCCAGCCTTTTAAATTTTTATTTTGGGACTAGGTCTCCCTAAATTGCTCAGGGTAGCCTTGAACTTGCGATCCTTCTGCCTCAGTCTCCCGAGTTGCTGGGATCTCAGAGACAGGCACCACTATGTCCTATGTCCAGCACGGAGTAGTCTTAATTCCCAGGGACAGGCTTCTTTTTTTCAGACCTATAAACACAAATTCTTCCCTCCACAAAGAAGCTCCCTAGAAGAAGGTGTGGAATCCTTCCCCTGACTGTTATGCTTCCAGGTTGGTGATTAAATTCTAAAACAGTGTAGAAATTCTAAGCCTGATTTAGACACCCCCTGTAGGATCAAAGCTGCTCTGTGAGGCTGTATGATCCTGGGCCAGAAGAATCAGCCATGAATCTAACCAAGGAGGAAGCCCCTATGCCTTGATTGTTCTGGGGAGGTCGATCCCCCTTCAGTAGTCCCTAACCCAGTTCAAAGGCTGGTGGAGACTGGGAGATTGGCAACGGATGGGGAAGTGGCTGGACCAGAGAAACAGGGCTTCCTGTTGATGGAGGGGTCCACTGGCTGATTCCCTGTCCTTCCCCCGCCCCTCAGTCTGAGCTTCCTAAACTTCCATGGAAGCCCTCACCCCGTGGAGGTGGCTGGGGGAAGAAGGACCACATCTAAGAGAGGACACAAGAGACCACTGCTTGGATAGAGAGGACAACTCCATTTCCCCACATTTTGGGACCTCCTTCAAGGAAAGGAGGACTTTCTCTAGACTCTGGAGATCCTGGCAGAAGGAAAAACTCGGGGTGGATTCAGGCAGACCCTGGTCTCTTCTCTTCACATCTTGTCTATTGGGTCTGGGGGACCTCAACAGGACCTAGCTCCTCCCTTCTGACACCATTGGTTTCTCCCTCATTGAGTCTCTTTTGCAATTCACTCCTCTCTTCTGTCCCTTTATCCCCTCTCCCAGCTCTGGTCATCACATAAACTCCGGCAACAGCAGTTTAGGGACAGCTTTGTTTTATATGGGAAGAAGGGTGTTTGGTCAGCTTAAAAGTTAAATTTGCGGGGGGCGGGGGTGGGGTGGGGGGCTGGGGTTGTGGCTCAGCCGTAGGGCGCTTGCCTAACATATATGAGGCACCGCGTTTGATCCTCAGCACCACATATAAATAAATAAAATACAGGCATTGTGTCTACTTACAAATATATATATATATATATATATATAAAGTTAAATTTGCATCCTGGGAGGAAAAAGAGATGATACACAGAGAATCAGCAACCACTGCCTGAGAGACAAGAGAATCTTCCTACTGAGTCACCGATTCAACAAACAGTTTTGCACAGCCTTTAACTCGCCCATCTCTCCGAGTTATTTCCACCCACCCCAACCCAAGGCATTCCAAATACCCACTTTGAGACCCCTGAGCAATGGTTGGCATCAATATGATGGTAGTCGGGAATCTGGGGCACTCACCCCCGTGGATCAAGTACCTTGTGGTGTCGCTTCCCTGGGATAGGGAGGGAGCGGAGCAGAAAAGGTGTTGTTTCTGAGCCAGAGGATGTGGAGTGGGTGAGGGGTCCTGGTGCACCCAGCAAAGGGTGACGGGGCGGGACGGGGGACCGGGGAGAGCGGAAGATTTCAGATCCGAGACTGGACACGCGAGGGGAGGGAACGACCCGCCAGGGGGAGGAGCCGCCTCCCGACGCCTGCTGTCGGGGCTCCCTCCCGTCGCGGCTCAGCTATAAAACCCTGGGCGGCATGATCGCGACACCCCCKCGACACACACACGCGGGATCCTTGGTACGCGACCCCGGGCTTGGCAACTTCTTTGCTCTCGCGCATCATGTGGCTGCTGCTTGGTTTCCTGGCCCTTGCCACTGCCGGGCCCTTGGCTTACGCAGGTGAGCGCGCCTCAGGAAGCCCTCGGGTGGCCCCTTTTGCTCACCTAGCTCTGTTCTGCTTCAGACGCTCGCCGGTACCGGCTGGTGCGCTCCGGCTGCGCATCGTCCAGGTTGCTTGTGCACGGAGCTGTGTGCACCCGGAGMGGCTAGACTGAAGCCAGATGGGGCCCTGCGCGAGCTCGTGTGCGCACACACGTGTCCGCTGGCCGGGGAGTGTGTGCAAGCGTGTGAACTATTGCGGTGTGTGCGCGCGTGGCCCGGCGGCCCACGGCGAGGCGGGTGTATGAGTCTGTGATAAGGAAACTTTCCGGACCCGCCTCGACGCACGCCTCCTTTTCTCACCTTAATCTTCCTTGGTCTGTCCGTGTGTGGCCGTCCATCCTGCCGCAGCTCAATGCTGGGGCTGGCACTGACCCAGGGACAGCAAGTAGGGTACATTTGGGATTCTGGCGTTCCCCTCTTCCCACCCTGGGTTCTTTGCTCCGAGGATTGTAGGCTTTCCTTTTCTCCCCAATCCCCAGTGCTGGATTTGGATCCCGGCGGGGGTCACCTGGAGACCCGAGGTCCCGGCTGAGCCGGTCTTTCCGGACAAGGTGATTTTCGTTTAAAGATTAATGGTGAGGCCCGAGCTCTTAATTATTCGTCTAGGTGGGAGGTAGCAGGAGAGGCGTGTTAATATTTGATAAGGAGCTAAAAGCGCTTTCAGTGGCTGGCACCTGCTCTGCTACCTCGTAGCCCTTCACAGGAAGACCTCATCTGCCAGTCCCCAGGCAAGTTACCCCTGGGATGTTTCTTGGGATCCACCCTAGCCAAATCTTCTATGTTCTCTGCTCTTGGAGTCATGGAGTGAGGGGCAAGGGTGTCTTCAGAGGCAGAGAGGGAGAGAGTGTGTGCCCTTTGCAGGAGGGACTTAGCTGGCCGAATGGGTATGGGGATGAGAGGCATCTTGCAGCAACTTCTAGGGCCCCTTCCCTGGGGAGGAGGAAAGAGGAGGCAGAATGTAAAAATAAATTCATTTGTGGAGTTGGGCATTTCAAACCCACTAAGCAATGGGGCTTAGTAGGAAAAATACCTATTTGCATTTAATTTGGGAGCATTGCAGTTGTATGGCCTTGGGTGAGTCATTTAACCTGTTTTTTACTTTGCAAAACAGGGAAAGTAATTCTGACACTAGGTGTTGTTCTAAAGTTTGGAGTAAGGTTATGGTGTGCTTGATGAAGGACCTCGGAATGTGATAAGTGCTGCCTAGTGATGGTTATAAGGCCAACTGGTCAGAACCTATCTCAGCTGACCCCCCTTGCTCTAACTGGGCTCCCTTTTTTAGCGCAAGGGCTTTCTGAGTGGGACTCATCCCATCAGGGTCTTAAGGCCACAGAGTGACCAGGTGGCACATAGAAATTCCCAGAGATTGCTGCTCCCACAGGTGGGGAAGTAGTTAGTTCAGTGCTGAAGCACTTGCTACACATGTACAAAGCCCTGGGTTGGCTCCCCAGTTCTAAAAAAGAAAAGACCCAACAAACAAACAAACAAAAATCCCAATCAGATATTTCTTCTCCCATTGAGAGAGAGGGCAGAGAGAATACTGGCCCCCATCAGAGCCCCAGACCCCTGGCCAGGAGGTGTTGAGACTTTGCCCAGGACATACTTGGGTTTTGCTGAGCTAGTTTCCAAGATTCCCCCTTCCCTCAGAGAGAGAGAGAGAGAGAGAGAGAGAGAGAGAGAGAAAGAGAGAGAGAGGGTGGGGAGAGCAAGGTCCATTAGAGCTTCTTCTGTCATTTCTAAAGAAGAGAGTTGGAGGGGCTGAGGATGTGGCTCAAGCGGTAGTGCGCTTGCCTGGCATGCATGCGGCCGGGGTTCGATCCTCAGCACCACATACAAATAAAGATATTGTGTCCGCCGAAAACTAAAAAAATAAACATTAAAAAAATTCTCTCTCTCTCTCTTAAAAAAAAAAAAAAAGAAGGGAGTTGGATAGTAAGTAAGTTAAGGTGGGGGACAGTATTTGAGTGACTAGGTAAGATCTGGGGCTGGGAGCCAAAACCTGAGTAGGCCCTCTTCTCCCCAGACCCTCTTGCAAGTGTCCTGAGACAGTGAGCTGGTAATTTTCTGCAAGTGTGGCCCTTCCTTTAATGAGTACAAACCTGAGCTGATTGGTGCCCTGCCACCTCTGGACTGAAAGCCAGCACCCCACCCTCACTCTATAGACACAGACCTGACCCCTGGCCTTGGTCTCATCACCATTATGTTTTCTTGGCTTCTGCCTCCTGAAGAGGGTAGTTACAAAAGTGTTCAGCCAGGCAGGTCAAAAGTCTCTATGATTAAGAGAGTGGATCAGAGGTCACCATTACAAACCTAAGAGCAGCAGCCAGAGCCTGGGAAAGGCAAATTCTTAAGAAAAAGCTAATCCTGGACCAGATGGGCCACCAGAGAGGTGGTGTGGGGCTCTACCCTTCAGAACTGGCTCCCGAGAACTCTGGCTTGGGCATGGTTTCCTGAAATAACTCCTCTTGGTCATCCATCGCAGAGGAGGGGCTGGTTCTCCTCCAGAGGCTTCTTCTGCCTCCAAGACTTCTGAGGGGTGGGGATATGACAGGATGATAAGGAGGCGCCTGTCTTGGTGTGAATGACAGCCGGTCCTTCATCTCATAGCACAGGAACCCTGGTAGTAGCACCTTCTGTCGCAGGAGGGGGATGGGGCTCAGAAAAGTGAACTGCGTTTCTTGCACAGATTAAGCTAAAGGAGGAGCAGGGCTGGAAGGCAGGAAAACAGACTCAGCTCCAGACTCTGCCTACCCAGGGGTGGGGGCAGGGTGCTACTCAGTGTTGAGCAAGTGATTCCTTCCCTGGCACCACTCCCACCCAACCGAGAGAGAGAGAGAGAGAGAGAGAGAGAGAGAGAGAGAGAGAGAGAGAGAGAAATGTTATGCCTTCAGGAAGGGGCTTTAGGGGAGGTAGCCAAAGCTCTTGGCAGAGTTGACCCACATGGGGGTTCTCCTGATGCAGCAGCTGGGGGTGGGGGGTTGGCCAGAGGGGAAGACACTGCATTTCTAAAAAAAGGCCATGCCAGCAGGGTAGCTGGAGAACTGGTCGAAGCTGGGAAACTTGAAAACCCAAGCAGCTCTTGGGGGTTGAGTTGGGGGCAGCTTTCTGGGGCGCTCACTCTCCTGGCCTAGAAATTCCCCCACCCCCACCAGGAGCGTGGCTTCCTCCCCACTCTGTCCCCCTTCCAGGGACTCCTTCCCAGGCCTAGATCTTCCAAAAGGAGATGAGCTTGTGGGGGAGCCCAGGCAGGAAGGGAGCCGGTATGTGCTCAGAGGCTGAGTGGGGAGCAGTGCTTTTCTTAGGAATTTCCTCATCTCTGAGTTCTTTCCAATTTGCTCCATGTGTCTCCTTTCCTGTCCCTCCTTGGCTTTGGCCATCTGCTTACTGACAGAGAGGGAGGGAGGGGGAAGGGACAGACTTGTCCATGGGACTTGACTCAGAACTATACCATCCCTCATACAATTCTCCCCACAGCCCGATGGGGTGGGTGTGTTACTCCCACTTTAGAGATGATAAAACTGAGGCTCAGAGAGATGAAGGAACTTGCTCCTAAACCCACAAGCTCCTGAGCAGCTCAGCCAGAACTCAAGCATTAGATGCCATGCTTTGTTCTTCCCCTGGGACAAGTGTGTTTTTCTTTTTTGGTGGGACTAAGGATTGAAGGCAGGGCCGTGTATGCTAGGCAAGCAGTCTACCACTGAGCTACATCTCCAGCCCTTTTTATGATTTTATTTTGAGGCAGGGTCTCAATAAGTTGCCAAGGCTGACCTTGAACTGGCGATCCTCCTGCCTCAGCCAACCCGCATCATCCCCTAATTGATGAGATTACATGCTACGATGCCTATTTAAAAAAAAAAAAAAATATATATATATATATATATATATATATATATTAGTTGTTGATGGACCTTTGTTTTATTTATTTATGTTTATGTGGTGCTGCAAATCAAACCCAGAGCCTCACACATGCTAGGCAAGCGCTCTACCGCTGAGCCACAACCTCAGCCCCACTCACCCTTTTTTAAAAGCTTTATTTTTAGAGCATTTTTAAGCTTACAGAAAAATTGGGAGCTGAAGGCGTGGAGGGTTCCCACAGGCCCCCTCTGTCCTGCACATAGTTTCCCTGATTATTCACGGCTTGCATCCATATGATCAATGTGTGGGGCAGCATTTCTTCAGACTTACTGGAGTCTTCCATTTTCAGACAATGGTGTGAGGGTTTAACCAAGAATCTCTCTGAACAATACTAGGGGGCATTCCAGGCAGGGCTCGCCCAACCTCCTCCCTCCCCTCCATCAGCCCTGGGATGACAGCCAGCAGCTCCCATTCTCCTCCTCCCCTCTCACCTAAACTTCCTCCCAGGTTCAGGGAGGGAATGAGGGAGGGAGAGGCTGATGACCGTTGGGTGGAGAGGGCTGAGGTAAGCTCCAGGGATGGAGCTGACAGTCACAGGGGGGCCCCTGAGGATGGGGCCCTAGGCAAGATGACCCGGATGAGCAGTCCTTGGGTAGGTTGGAAACATTCCTGGGTTTTCTTATCTTCTCCTTTCCCTGGGCTCTCACATCGCCCCCGCAGGGAACATTCCATCCCACCCCAAGGGAATGCTTCAACCCCAGGGACATTGCCAGCCTCTGATCCTCCTGTGTACACACGGAGTTGTGTGCACATCATTCACATGCCCTGGTACAGAGGTCTGTGCTCACAGCTACTCTGACCCAAACACGCACAGGCCTCATGTTCTTCCTCTCTCTGCCCCAGAGTCACATTGGTGCTACGATGTTCAAGTCAACTGCTCTGCCAGCTGCCTTGGTGAGTACAACCAGTCTTGGGGACAGGCCCTGCTGCATGGTAGAGTCCATTCAAATCAAAATGGAAGTACCTCTCCCCTGGGGGTTACTTCCTCCAGGGAGGTGAGGAGGATGAAGGGTGACCATAGGCCCCTGTCAGACATCTGTTCCTTCTCAAATACACGCACACTCACATAGAGTGCTTTTGCTGGTACCTCCTGTCACTTAGAGGGTGAGTTCCCTGGGAAACAGATCAGCAGCAGCTGTAAAGAGACAACACAGTGGATCATTGGAGAGCTGGGTCTCTTCCAGTGATACCCTTTCTGGTGGGAGATGGTTCTTGGCTCCTTTTTTTTTTTTTTTTTAAATATACTAGGGTGCTTTATGACTGAGCCACACCCACAGCCCTTTTCATTTTTTATTTTGAGACAGAGTCTCCTTAAGGTCACCCAAGCTGGCCTTGAACTTGTGATCCTCCTGCCTCAGCCTCCCGAGTCACTAGGGTTACAGGCACGTTCCATGGTGCCTGGCACTTGGCACTTTTTATTCAAATCCTGACCAGTTTCCCTCGGGTCTGCCATCTTCCTGCCCTGCTGTGTTGAGTGACTGCCAGTGCCACCCCACTTCTTCCCCTGCAAATCTGGGGGTTGATGCCACCAGGGTGTGGGGAGCCAGGCTCCCCTGGGGGTTACTCCCTCCCTCTCACTCCTCAGATAATGCTGTGTCACCTTTGAGGCTCCTTTCACGGTGGCTCTTTCAGGAAGCCCCGCTGCATGGCTTCCTAAGTCATCTCCCCTTTGGTGACTTCACACTTCTAATGCTGCCAGGAAGCAGGTTACCATCAAAGTTCCCACTTTATAGTTGAGAACGCCAGAGCTCAGAGAGGGATATGCCCAGCGTTGCCAGGTTACCCCTACCACAGCCACCAGCAGGCAAGCCTGTTCCCACTCTGCACCAAGCCCCTGGAACTGGCCTCCCTGACTTTGCCTGTGTGAGACTGAAGAGGAGGAAGACAGTGGGGTGGGGTGGGCTGAGTGCTGAGTGGAGCACCCCCACTGCAGTGCCCTCCCCATCCCAAGACTTCCCGGCCTGTGGGCTGATGGTGGCACCTGAACTCAGTGGTGTGGAGGTGGCCCTGACTCTCTGCCCCCTCCCCCCTGCTCAGGGCCCAACCAGTGGGGTGGAGACTGCCAGAAGAATCACCAGTCCCCTGTCAACATCGTCACCAGGAAGGCCGTGAACCAGAACCTGGGACGCTTCTCTTTTTCTGGCTATGATAAAAAGCAAAAGTGGACAGTGGAAAATAATGGGCACACAGGTGGGTCTCAGGGGGGCTGGATGGAGGTTAGAGGACGGGGACAGGCATAGGTTTCTGTCGCAGGGACCCCCGAGGCCCTGAGGGCTGGGAGGGAAGGGGTGCTCCAGGCCCAGGTCCCCTTTGCTGAGGAGGGGAGGGGTCATCAGAGAGGACTTTCCCAGAGGAGGGACACTGTAGCTGTTTTCAGTCATTTCGTCAGACCAGTCTGGGGTGGGGGAGGGACCGTTCCAGGAAGAAGGGACGACCTTTGCAAAGGCATGGAGGCGTGAAGCAAGGTGTTCAGGGAACTGCGAGCAGTAGTTCTGTGCGTGCGCATGGAGGACCGAGAATAAAACCAGGAGGGGCGGAGCACGGCCAGGCCAGGTCACCCAGGGCTGAGGAGGTTGGACATTACCCTGACCAGGCCAGGGCATCACAGAGGGGGTTGAGGCAGAGGAGAGACCAGGGCAGAGTTGCATTTTGGGGCAGTGGGGTATGTGCAGACGAGGGGGAGGGAGGCAGGGAGGCCAGCTAGGCATTCCCCGTAGGGTCTGGGGCTGCATCAGCCCATCCAGGCCCAGGACTGGAGCTCAGGAAGTGGAGGAGGTAGGAGAAGGTCCTGTCTGTGTGGAGTTGTCATTTGGGGCTGGGAGAGGCTGAAAGGAGGCTGGTACAGGGACTCGGCCCCTTCCTGTGTCCCCCAGTGATGGTGTCGCTGGGAAGTGAGTCCCAGATTTCTGGAGGAGGCCTGGCTGCGCCATACCGGGCCACGCAGCTTCACCTGCACTGGTCTAAGGAGCTAGACAGGGGCTCGGAGCACAGCCTGGATGGGGAGCGCTTTGCCATGGAGGTGAGGTCTTTTCCCAATGGGTGCCTCAGCTGGGCTCTGGGTGTGTAACCACGGTGGGCAAGGGGGTGTTCTAGCCCCCTCACGGGTCCTCTCTCACCCTTTCCCAGATGCACATAGTACATGAGAAAGAGAAGGGGACCAGGAGCAATGAGAAGGATGGCCAGACTCCTGAAGACCAGATTGCCGTGCTGGCCTTCCTGGTGCAGGTAGGACTCCCATGCCCAGCGCCCAGCGAGCGGGGCGTGAGGAGCGGCTGCTTAGAGGCCTGGGGGAGGCAGGCCGATGCCCCCCAAGCCTGAGAGGCACTCAGAGCCTCAGTCCTGGAAGCTGCCTCTCCTCCCCCAGATCAGAATGAGCTGGCAGTCAGTCACTAGTGGCTCCCCAGGTCCCCTGCCAAGCCCTCTTCCCTTCTATTTCAGGAGGGGGACAAAACAAACGAGGGTTTCCAGCCCCTGGTGGAGGCTCTGCCCCATATCCCCAAACCTGGTGAGTCTGGATGGGGAAGGAGGGCAGGTGAGAGGAGGGAGCTTCTCCCCACACCGGAAGAGCAGGGGTGGGGGGGCAGCTGGCGGTCAGCGTGAGGTGTCTAAGGGTCTCTGACCCCCAATCCCAGGGATGAACACCACGATGAGGGAGAGCAGCCTGCTGGACCTGCTRCCCGAAGAGGAGAAGCTGAAGCGCTACTTCCGCTACCTGGGCTCGCTCACCACGCCAAGCTGCGCTGAGACTGTGGTCTGGACCGTGTTCGAGGAGCCCATCCAGCTCCACAGGAGCCAGGTACCCAGTACCAGGGCAAGGTGCAGCCTCCCACCGCCCAGCTCCTCAGAAATCATGCCTTGGTTTGTCCCCAGAGGTCCCCTGAGGTGGGGATGCCCAGGGAACGGAAGTCCATTCATTCAATCTTTGGACACTCCATGGAGCCGACAGATGAGGAAGATCCCGACCTGTTTCTTTCCTGCACTGAGGGTTGAGCGGAGGCTGTGAAAGGGGGTGATCACAAAAGGTTCCCAGAAAAGTCAGTGGGAGTCAACCCGCCTGGTGTCCTAGGGAGAGGTGTCAGCTTGGGGGAGGGCCTGGGGCTGGCGGGTAGTTGCTCAGTGGCAGGAGGAAACAATTCATTCATTCATTCAGAAAATGGTATCTGAGCCTCCCTAGTCCACTAGCCTCTGGGGAGACAGCAGTAAAGCCCCAGGGACCCCAGTTGCTACTCTGTGGTACTTTTGTTCCCCAACATTGATTCTTAAGGTGTGGTCCCGGGACCAGTGACAACATCACCAGGAGCAATCTGCCAGAAATGCCAGTTCTCAGGCCTTAACCCAGACTGGCTGAATCAGAGATTCTGCGGGGTGAGGCCCATCTGGAGCCCCACAAGCCCCCAGCAGATGTTAATAGATGTCAAGAATGAGAATTCCCTGTGCTGCAGTAAATAGTGATGGTGGTAGCAGTGATGGCAAATCCTAGCCCTTCAAAATTGTGAGTTAAAATAATGGAAACTTAGCCCCCTATCAATGCTAGGTAATTCACGTCCCTTGTTTCTTTCATCTTTATGACAAGACAAGCTGGAGAGTTAATGATTCTGAGCACCTTTTTCCTAGTGAGGGCTTAGAGAGGTGAGGTGACTGGCCTGAGGTCACACAGCAGGGAGTGTGGCTCCACCTGAGCCCAGTGCTTTCCTTCCACAGATCCTGACATTCTCCCAGAAGCTGTACTACAACAAGGAGCAGACGCTGGTGATGAGTGAGAACGTCAGGCCCACACAGCGCCTGGGAGATCGACAGGTGATCAGGTCCCGGGCTCCAGGACAGCTGCTGGCCTTGCCCCTGCCCACCCTGTTGGTTCCCACACTGACCTGCCTGATGGTTGGCTTCCTCCGGTAACCACTCGGTTCTGGACTTACGACCCCTAACCTCAACCTTTAGAGGACCTGACTTCCGTTCCTTATGCTTCCCAGACTGGACTTTGAAGATGATTTAAAATATGGATATATTTTTGGAGAAACCTTTCTGAAGTCTGTTTGTTAGCTCCATCCAACCACATAACCCATCCTGTTTCTAGGCAGGAGACTTCAGGCCTAGAGATTTCTTCCCCACAGGTACCACCCGTTACCCCCATCCCCTGCCTCTGTGAATTCCCTGTCTACATCCCGCCCGCTTCTACTCTGGCCTCAGAGAGTAGAAGGCACCATGGAGCACAAACCCACTGAATGCTGGTGGAGTTTCAGCCCCATCTGTCCATCATACAGTTGGAGGATCGGAGACCCAGAAAGGAGAGGCCAGATGGGGGCCACATATCAGGGCCAGGCCAGAACTGACTGAGGCACCTGGCCAGGTGGTATAGTGTAGGGTAGGGTGGGTCACAGGGAATTCATTTGTTTGCTCAAATATTTCTTGAGCATCTATGTTCTGTGCACTGGGGACATGGTAGGGAATAAAACAGACGAAAATACCTGCCCTCCAGAAGTTCACAGTCCAGTGGAGGAGAGACTATAAATAAAACAGACACGTTGCCTAGGACATCAGGAGGCAGTGAGTTCTGCGGAGAAGGGCAAATCGGGGAAGGGCAGGTGTGGTTTACGGGGGTGTGGGGGGAGGGGCATCAGGAAAATGGGAGGGAGGCCAGGGCAGGAGGCCATCTGGAGACAGCCAGTGTTCAGGCTTTTGAGGGAGGAAGAGAGCCTGTGGGAAGCAGCAGGGAGGCCAGTGGGTGGAGGAGGGGAAAGCAGAGCCACGGAGCTGGGTGTGGAGGGAGTGAAGTGGCCAGAGCATTGGATTCTTGTAGGATCCTCTAATGCTAGAGCCTCAGGAGAGTGGAGGGTTCGAGCTGTGGGACCTGGTCCACTTGCATTGTAGAACTTGCTGGAGAGGGGACAGTGGAGCAGGGGCCAGTGCCCAGGCTACTGCCAAAGCCTAGGAGCAACACTGGGCCAGCAATGGGATGTGAGGGAAAGAGGAACCCGGACATGTCAGGGAAGAGTCCCCCAAACAGCACCACCATGGACACTGTATCTTTAATATTTTCTTTTCACCCTCCTAGAGCCCGATGAGGGAGACCATAGGAGGCAGGTGGGGAGGGGTTGGTCCCTAAAACCAGGAAGTAGGAAAGAAGGGACCCACAGGTAGCCTGAGGGGCTCTGGGGTCCCAGGTTCCTCATCCTGGGCAGGGCTGGCTTTTGGAGGATCTTGAGCCTTCACAAGTGGAGAAGGGAAAACAGGCCTTGTGGAGAGATTAGGAAACCCAGGGGCCAGGGCCAGGGCCAGGCTGTGCTGGCTTGGGGTGGGAGGACCCTCTGGAGTGGTTACCACTCCCCAGGGAGCAGTTAGTTAGCTACTCCCCAGGCGTGCAAGTGAGGAGGACGCAGGAGTCCCAAAGGCCTGGCTGGCTATGGACCTAGGGAGGGGAGCCAACTGGAGGGGGTGACCTGTGAGCCTTCTCCCACSGTGACACCCCGAGCCCCTGGCCACCTCCAACTTAACCAAGGGGAGAGAGAAAAGAGCTGCTCTCCTTCTTCCCACCCTCTCCTCTCTTTTCCATTTTTGATCAAGAAGAAGTACACTCCCCCTTCCCCAGTGACCACACGGCTGTGGGGGGTGGCTGTTGTCATGGCAACAGAAGGCAGCCTGTGTTGGCAGGGTGTGTGGGGACACTGAGATTGTTCTCCTACTGTTCCCACGCAGCCAGTGGGGGGTCCTCCCCAGGCTCTGGACTCTGAGGCCAGAATTGCCCCTCCCTTTGACACCCCCAGCCCCAGTCTGGTCCCTGCCCTCAGGTTAGCCTCCAGTGAACAGTGCGGCAACAGAACCAGGAGGCCCCAGCTCTTTGCAAGAGACTTGGCTTTTCCCACCCCCAGCAGAAGCACAGGACTCTCTCCGTCCCTGGCCCCTGCCCCGGCACCGTAATAAACCCAGTGAGCAGGAGGCAGAATGGGTGCAGCTTGTCCAGGGCCCAGGGCTCAGGCCACTTCCTTGCCTGTCTTTCCTGTGGCCTTGAGGCCTGGTAGGTGCTGTCAGCCCATGATTCCTAGCAAATCAGTCTGCCAGCCACCTCAGGAGTGGGCAGCTGGCTGGAGGCGGAGACTGATGGGCACAGCTTCCTGTGACTGTGTGCTCTTGAAGAGCCGCGGCTTCTCACGGAAATTTACTCCCTCTGTGCTGGCCCAACTGCTCACCTTGGAGAAGGTGGCTCTTGGTTTCATGTGCCCAGCCTGGTCTGGGGATAGGGGCTACCAAAGGCCCTTATCCACAAGGGGGGCCAATGTGGCCCCCTGAGTTCTTCTTTTGCTTTCACCCACCCCTTGAGTGACTGTGTTGGTGTGCACGCACACACACACACACACACACACACACACACACACGCGAGCGCGCGCACACACACACACACACTTGTCTGCAGCTGCAGTCCTGGGGACAGCAAAGGGCTGATAATGTCAGCCACAATCTGATTTCTCTGAGGGCCTTTTCTCGTGGTCTTCAGCACAGAATATGAGACACTCTGGTTGACTACCTACTATGTGCCCAGCATGGGCCTCACTGTTTCTATTAGAGATTTCTCCAATTGCATGGATGAGGAAACCGAGGCACAGAGAGGGGTCGGGGAACCTGTGAGAACCTGGGCCAGAGCCTGGAGTCACTCTGTATTTCCTTGGCTCCACGGTCAGCTTTCACCTTTAGCAGAGACATCAGGGAAGATGGCATCTGTGATAGGGCAGGATAGAGTCTGCAGGGCCTTGTCCCATCCTGTCTCTGCAGGTTGCTTTCTGTCCCCACTAGGCCACCTCTCTGCTCCCCTGTTTAGGTCTGCCATCCGGGTGGGAGCCAGGGGCTAAAAATATTGTCCATGTGTTTAGATGATTCTTGGAAAATAAACTTCCCCATCTTGGCTCTGGGTTTGCACGCTTGCTGGCCCTGCTTCCTGCGGCTCTGATGTGTCAGTGTGTGGGGAGGGGGAGGAAGTAGAGGGGAAGGGTTTGTAAGGGGCCAGAGTCATGCGGTGAGGTGGTGCTCATGCGCACAGGGACTCAGAAGTTGCTGTGTCACAGAATGTCAGGGGATGGCTGTACAGAGACCCCACTGTGCTCCCAGCATGAGGTAGCCCTAGGCTTGCAGCTTTTCATGTATTGAGTGGGAAGAGTCAGGACAGGGTGGCCTTGCTGGCATGAAGGTATGGCTCCCTGCTCTGGGCCTTGGTTTATGCATCTGTAAAAGGGAMTAGGTTTGACCCTCCCATCTAACCGGGCCTGGCCTCTGCTGATGACCTCGGGAAGAAGGCCAGGCCTTGTCTCCATGGGTGGGGCACTGCTCCTGCCCTTCACATTACAGGCATCCTAGTGGCTCTGTTTGTTTATCTGAGTAGGGACAAAGGCATGACCTCCTGTTTGGATGGAGGACCATGTCCCAGGCCTGGGGTAGGCCCAGGGAGGGGCTTCCTCTGGGGGAGGGTTGCAGGACAGACAAGTCACAAGCCAGTTCCTTCCGCTGAGACTGGACACAGGGGAGGCTCTTCAGTTGTTCTGAAGAGGGACAAAGGAGCAGGACGCAGGGAGGGGGTATTGGGTTCATTTTGGAACAAGTTTTACTTTCAACAAGATTTAATCTTTCAACAAATACTATTATTTCCTCAGTGCTAAAGACTAAGGATTCAGGGAGAAAAACCAGCCTAGGCCCTTCCTTCAACATTCCTAACTGAARGTCAGACGTGTCAGGCACAGTGGGACCAGATCTATGAAACAGAGGCCAGGAGATGGGTGCAGAAAGCTCAGAACACGCGAACCAGAGTTGCACAGAATTGGGGTTGTTCCAGCAACTTGGGAGGCCAAGGCAAGAGGATCACAAGTTTGAAGATCAGCCTCAGCAACTTAGTGAGATAATATCTCAAAATAAATAATAAAAAGAAACTGGGGCTATATCAGATGTAGAGAGCACCCCTGGATTCAATCCCTAGTGCAAAAGAAAAAGAAAAAAAAAGAAGAAGAAGAAGAACAACAACAACTGTGGTTGGATCCCCTTCCACTGCTGAGTAGGTACCTTCAGTAACTTATTTCAGCTGAGTCTCAGTTTCCTCATTTATAAGTAGGGGATGACGACAGTATCTACCATACAGGATTACTGAAAGATGGAACAAGATGCCTGGGATAGAGGACATATTCAATATTTTTGTGGTTATTATCATGATTCTTTTTATTAGAGCACTGAAAGACAGGTAGGACCTATAGACGGGGCCATTGGGTAGAGGCTGGGTTCTGGGGAGTGGCAGACCTCATGCCTCCAAGGAAGAAACCTCAGCTCCCTCATGGGGCCACCTCTCTGCTCAAACACCCAGGAACATCCCTAGAACTCAGTCCCAACCATGCAGAGGTGTCTACTAGAGGTGTCTACTAAGACAGGCCTCTCAGCCTGACCTTTGCCTACTGTTTTTCCAGAACATCAGGGGAGGAAAGGAGACCTGTTGAAGCACATCCTGGGGACAGGGTTGGACTCAGGCTGAACCCGCATGGCTGGAAGCAAGGCCTCTCTGACCCAGGGCCCTTCCTGCTTTCTTGCCGTGGGGATTTGTTAACCTTTGCCCTTCCCCAGAGCCCCAGGGTTGCCGAATTGGCCCTCTGCACGTCCAGCTCTCTGTCCCTGGCTCTGCCTGAGGCATGCCTGCCTGTCCTATCCAGGCAGGCTTTCCCAACACAAGGAAAACACAATGCCCCATCTAGATCAAATACAGGATGCCCAGATGCCTTTGAATTTCTGATAAGCCACCAATAATTCAGTACTATCTCCAGATTCCTTGGAAATACTGAAAAAAATATTTATTAATTCGAAATTTAAGCTTAACTGGTTGTCTTGGTAGTTTTTATTTACTGGGTCTGATAATCCTATCCCTGTCCCACCTATCTCAGGGTAACTGAGGTCAAAAGAGAAGGGTAGACACTCGACGGGGACTGGTGGACTGGGACTGTATCACCATTTCTTCCTCCTCTTTTTCCTTCCTCTCCTCAGCTGGCCAGGCCCTCCAGGGACTGACTGATAACCTTCTGGTCGAGGGGTTTCCCCTTCTCAGTGACCCTGGCATTGGGCTCCCCRTGGGGAGGGCTGCCAACTAGAACGGTCTATGTGTCTGCCTTTCTCCACAGTTTTCTATCAAGTCAGGAAGGGAGGGATCCAGATCCCAGAGGGGCTGAGCACCTCTGTCCAAATCTGAAGCTTTTTATATTTCCATTTCTTTTCATCTTATAATCTTGATCTATGTCACTACCATTAGCTACTTGCAACTCACTATCTTATCCCAGGCCCTCTGCAAGATACTTTATACTTGTTATCTCACTAATCCTGACAGCAACCT